GTTTGTTTTTTTTTGTAATCCATGATCAAAATGTTTGTTTTTTTTTGTAATCCATGATCAAATTTTTTGTTTTTTGCTTTTTTTGTAACCCATGATAGAGTTTTTTGTAATCCATGATTGAATTTTTTGTAATCCATGATCGAATTGTTTTTTTCTTTTTTTGTAATCCATGATTGAATTTTTTGTTTTTCTTTGTTTGTTTTTTATTGTAATCCATGATCGAATTTTATGTAATCCATGATCGAATTTTATGTAATCCATGATCGAATTTTTTGTAATCCATTATTGAATTTTTTGAAAATTTGTGATTTTTTTTTTTAATCCATGATCGAATTTTTTTTGTAATCCATGATAGAATTTTTTGAAAATTTGTGATTTTTTTTTTAATCCATAATCGAATTTTTTTTGTAATCCATGATAGAATTTTTTGAAAATTTGTGATTTTTTTTTTAATCCATGATCGATTTTTTTTAAAATTTGTTATTATTTTTTTTAATCCATATTATTCAAAGAGAAAATGAGAGAGATGATGATTCTGTGGCCACCCTATCCCACCATAGTATTCACATATCAAGTCCCAACAGCAATAGTGTAGGGATGAGCACGACAGTGCAAGTGAGCATGAAGGATGGGCAATCTTCGAGGATTTTAGATTGGGAACACAACAAAACACTAACACTCAAGGATTTGGGAATAGTCAGACGCCTGCTAATATCGATGATTCGTTTTTAGATCGAATCAATGAATTGTTAAACGAATTCAATCAATGGCACCAGCGTGACGAAGAAGAACAATAACGTCGTCTATCATTTTATTTTTAGATCATATGTTACTAATTTTATGCTTTATTGTAGTCCATCTATGTTGATATACTTATTCCATGATAATTATATGTTTATCCTTTTGTGTGATGTAAATTAAATGCTGAATGACGGTTCATGCAGAGAAAGAACATATCAATATTCGCATATTCATTCAAAAACATGAAAATTCTTAATGGAGTACCCTCATTTCTTATTGAATTTCTAAAAAACAATATTTATAATGAATTTTAATAATTTTTTCAGATTTTTTTTAAGCTTTAATCTGACCGATTCACCAGATTCCCGATCCGGATCGCCGATTCGCCGATCCGGATTGGTTTTTTGGAAGCCCGATCCGGGTCACCGATCCTTTTTTTAAACCATTGATTAGAACAAACTTCTCCAGTTCAATTTTTAAGAGTGCCGTACTTCTATGGTATAAGGTCGGTATTTTCTATAAACTTTTTCTTTAACAGATTATATAGAAGGCATGGTTTTTATAAGGTTACACCCTTAAGCAATCCAACTCAAAGTGCACTTTCAAATTTTATTATAACATGTAATTTTGGTTTATCAAAATCTTAGAATTATTTGAAAATCTAATTTCATATATAATTATAAAATTTTAAACTCCAAAAAATGGTTAAAATTAAATAGATCTATAAACATATGAAAATCTTGAAAAGAGACTATCTAGATGGTGTATCATAAGATGCATTATTTATGGGATTTAAATCTTTTTTTTTCTTTATATTCATACATCTCGATGTCGAGATGATTCAACATTAAAACAATCTTTTCCGAGGGATTTTTGAGGTGCATCTTTAATTCTGCATTTTAAGGTTACAACCTTATGTAAACCTTTTCCTAATGTAAGATATAATATACATTTGAAAGATTAGGCACACTGTTGAGGAAATGATATCATTGAAGACCACCCGTTAGATATCACCAAAAACGGCTCACACCCAATAGATGCTTACGATTTATAATTGCTTGCATGCATGTTTTACAGGTGTAGGGTATATAAGGATACAGTGTATATAAGGTGACAACTTTTTACTTCCGGAAGTAGGTTGCAATATTCTACATCGTTCATATTTCAATTGGATAGTTCAGATTTGAAACGTCATTTACAACTATAAAAAAGAAACTTGTTTTAAGGTAATATCAAATATACACTGTCCGTCCAAATGAGATGGCATAAATTATGCAACCTTACTTTTGGAAGTAGGACCTAACTTTATATAAATCTTTTCATGTTTTGTATGCACGCAAGCACGTTATTGATGGATAAATGATTGAAAGGCCCTTATTCAATAATACAAAAACAAGTAACAAAAAATATGTTTTCTTTTATGGAAAGTAGATCAATTGAGGACTGGCAGTTTTGAGTAAGCATTTATTCATTTAAAGAACTAAAGTGAATATTTGGTTGAATTTCCTAAAGGAAGTCAAGAAATCCATGAAAGAAAGGATCACATCCTTTAAGAACAACCTTAACAACAAGTGGCTTATAACAACTCCTCAAAAATTTGCCAGTACACATTTTTGTGACAATTCTGCATGTTGAACTTGTAATTTTTCACTTATTATAGAAAAGTCTCTTAGTTGCTCATTTTCTGGCACAAGGAAAAGCACATTTCCCTGCACAAGTCAAGAAATTTCACTATGATGATTGCTCAACAAAAGATATTCCTTTTACTAATCGATAGTATATCAGAACCAGATCAGACTAGAATGGGCTGCATAGCTCCTATTGGATTCAAGATGATTCCTGATTTGAGGGACTTGCTTACCTGAGTAGAAGCACGAAAGATGTATGAAGGCACAGGACTGGACCATACAAACCTTTGGCATCATTAGAACCAAACAGGTTGCAAGCTTTCAAACCAAGACGAGGCTACAAGTACAAACTATATTACAGATTAGGCCTTCTAAATAGAACATTAGTGTGTATGGCCTAAAATTGACCAGACATATGACTGGAACCTTTTCAGTCTTCTGAAGAGACCATGTGGGGGTTAGCATATAACGGTATTAGCCATAAAGAGCAAAACGCTTTCAGTAACCATAACGATCATTCAGAGAGGTGCGACCATCACCTGTTTGCCCTGCACAAATCCAATATCATTTGTTTGTTAACCACAGCTAGTTAAGTGCATATTCCTACGACAGAGTTGGCCTAGAGGCAGAACCAATTGCAGATGGAATTAGTAGCCAAATGTCAGAGCCACTCCTGAATTTTGGCAAAGTTTCAAACATGAGCCTATGAATAAAAGTTATATATTGCTGAATTTCAGTTGTTTCCTGCTGAAACTGGAGGTAAAAAGAAAAACACTAAATCCATTTTAATTTTGCCCAGAGACACAAAATTGCACCACTCAGATTCAGCCTATGTTCAAAGAAATGTGCACTCGAAATGCAAAACCCATCTTTCCATATTGAAATGTTGTGAGCAAGTAATTACCTTGAGGAGGTACCCATGCTTCAGAATCCACACCATTATCCTCAAGAAATGCTGGTTTCTCAGGCCCCATCTTCCTCCTGGACTTCCTCTGATCTTCTTTGAGAGATTGGCTCCTTACCTTACTTCCTTCTTCCCTTGTTTCTATGGCATCCTCTGAAGCAAAATACCCTCGTGTGTGTTTCAATAGTAGAGCCACTGCATCTGCGGCATTAACCTCTGCCTTCGAGACTTCAGGTGAGGCCCCCACCTCACAACCTTGTTCATCATCCGGCTTCCTTTTCCTTATTATTAGACCAGGAGCTGCATCTTCAATAGTGGAATCACCTTTTATCTTTGCTTTTTCTAGAGCGACAAGTGCTTTTTTCCTGTCCTTATAATCAACAAACTGGCTTGACTCTTCTGCACTTAAGGATGGATCCTGTGCTAAGCTGATTTCTGGTTTGGTTTCTAGGGCAGCACCCAACCATTGATGTTTTGGTTTTATGTGTTGAGATCCTTCAGTTTCTGGCTCTTTACTGAGTTTTGGATTATTTTCGTTGGGTTCTGTGATTTGGGTTTCAAGAGGCATTTCTTCCTTGCTCATTTTTTCTTCCTTGAGGGACCCATTCATGGGTTTCTCCAATGCCGATTGTCTATTTGGTTCTGGTTGAAGTTTTTTGTTAACATTTAGTCGCTTGTTAATATTTAGTTGGGCAGACTTTGTTGGTTGTGGTTTGGATTGTCGTTTCTTGGTGGCCTCACCCGTGGGATCTGCAATCTTCAACAAGTAGAGAACCCTGTCGAGTTCAGATTGGAGGATGCTCAGTTCCTTTTGAAGCTGAGTGGTTTTATCTAATACTGCAAAGGGAAACATAGTATGACAAGTTACTAGTTTGGAAGAGTAAATTGAAATGTAACTTCCTTAGTTTTAATTAACAGCATAAAACAAAAACAGTAGTTTTAAAGTATGAAAAATTTCTATTGAACCGTGAATGAAGAACCATCAAATCTGAATAACCATTCCAAATTTTCACCTAATTGGCTTGATACTCCAGTCATGTATGCATCAAGGGCGTCTCCCCCTTCAGTGTCACCTTCATTCTTTGCCACCTCTTTCTTCTCCTCTTTGAGAATCAAATTCTTCAAGTTCTCTATCTTGCTGGTGATGGTCTCTTTCTTATCAAGCAATGTATCAGCTGTTTCAACTGATGACTTCTCACAACCTGTATTATGAATCGAAGGCTTCTTTGTTCGATCGTAGAATTCATCATCATCACTGGATAATGAATCAATATTTATTAACAAATGAAACACAATGTAAGATGCAAATTAAATAAGCTCACTTCCATTTCAAAGAAAAATAAGTTCACTTGCAACCAACATAGGAACTCAGTTTCAATGGTCCATCCACAACTACAAAAGGGCAGTATTACATGGGTGCAGTTTGTATAGAGCTGAGGCTCTAAAAATCAAAGTAAAGCACACCTTTAAATAGTATAGAGAAATGTGGTTTCAATACTGGAAATCTTTGTGATAGCCTTAAAATACATTTTCATCTTTAATTATAAAATTTAAAGCTTCAAAAATAGTGTAGATCAAGCAGATCTAAGAAAACTTGAAAATCTTGAAAATTGACAGTCCAAAAATGGGTTACAAGATGAACTATTTCCAAAACTTGAAATCTAATTTTTTCTCATGTCCATGCATCTAGATGTCGAGATGATCAATTTGAGGATATTTGGACATCAAAATAACCTCTTCTAGTGAAGTTTTTGAGGTGGGCTCTAATATGATTGTTTAGAGCCGCGGCTCTATATAAACTTTTTCCTTATTACATTTAATAGTTTCTAAATTGAACAAATTTTCAATGATTCAATCTTTTTCAAAAAAAAATATTTCATGGGTCAAAAGTCATCCAATATACAAAACAAGGAACCGAATCCTGGCCAATGGATTTACATTGATTGTATCAGCCAAGCTTAATAAAATTATACTGTAAGTAACCACTGGAATAACAAAGGCACTAGCATAAAGAATTTGGAATTTGAAATTTGAAATTTAAAATTTGAAGACATAATAACAACAAATCAGCTACCATAAAGATCTATACTCTTTTTCTCTAACAGGCTAGAGCTAGGGGGTAGGAATGTCTAACTACTAAGTTGCCTGTGATTTTCCAATTTCTAGACCAGGTGCCATAGAGTGCTCTTATTTCAGTATTCAAATTCTTGTAAAGAAGTAGGGTGTTGTAGTCTCTCTAATCATGTGCAAAATATGGGAAGTTTAGGAAATAGGATGATAGAGGAGTTTACCCTTATCAGAAAGGCATCTTTAGAATGTATTGTAGGCCAAGCAAAATCAATGGCCAGCATTAAGTTTTAGGTTGCCGAGTGTCTATTTAGTTTTGGTAAAAGTTTATATAAGGTTGCAACCTTAAAATGTAAAATTACAGATGCACCTCAAAAATCCATCGGAAAAGGTTGTTTTAATATAGAAAAAAACCTCTAATTGGTCATCTTGACATCGAGATGTATGAATATAAAAAAGAAAAAGAAAAAAGGTTTTGAGTCCCAAAAATAGTACATCTTGCAATACATTATCTAGACCGTCCATTTTCAAGATTTTCATATGTTTATAGATCTACTTGATTTTCACCATTTTTGAAGTTCAAAATTTTATAATTAGATATGAAAATAGATATTGAGAGAATCCTAATAAAAATTTTCACCAAAATTACATGTTATTATACAATTTGGAGGTGTGCCTTAATGGGATTGTTTAAGGTTGCAACCTTATAGAAACCAAATCCTTCAGTTTTCTATGGTTTCCTTTTTTTTAACAATGTTAATATTGTATTACTATAAATTTTTTTATGGTTTTCTTTGCTTATAAACAGTTGTAATGGGACTATTGTAAAGAGGGTATCAAATAATTGTTAAATTTGTGTTCGAACTCGTGGGCCTTGAGCTATTGAACTCCTTTTATAGTTGTTGCGCTCTCTCCTTTTTGTGAAATTTTCAGCATCTACCTCGCTGCATCAATTACAGCAGCACTCCTGTCCAAAATTACAGTTACAGAACCGAACTGAAATGGAAACTTACGCTGCCTGTAGATTTTGAATGCCAATCATCTAACAGGAGGGTCCAAATGACCAACTACACTAATATGTTTAACAGTTTTGTGATATGAGGAAAGAATAAGGTTTGAGCGTCAAGGGAGGGATGGGGATTGATAAGTAATGAGGGAGGGGTGCCACTGGGTAACATCGGATCTTCAAAATAATACCAACTACTCAGAATAGGAAAGAGTTTTAACAAAACACACATATAAAACTCATGTGGGATTCCATGTCTCTCATAAAGAGAGGCAATGAGCCACCCTACAAACACAATGGATCCCATTACCCTTCGGTGGTACTGGATGCAACTTCCTCCCCCATGAGTTATTCAAATATGGGAAATGATGCCAATCACAAGTATAGAAAGGGAGGTAGAATTTTCTCTGTCCTCATAATCCTTTCTTGGAAAAGGCAACGTTAAAAGCAAGGTGGAGAGAACGAATCCACTTGAATATTCAGGGGCAGGAGCTCATTTAGTGGATCAGCTGAGGGCAACTCTGCATTTGAGGTAGGTTGGGAGAAAATGATCCTTTAAACTTATTCCTGTGATAGATAAGTTTTATATCATGTCATCGAAAAAGGTTAGAAATTTATCTATAGGAGCTTTGAGGAGAGATATGGAGAAAAAAAGGAGGAGTTCCTAACAAGCACATTCCTTTATATATAACACAAATATATAACACAAACGAAAGGAGACAAGCTATTATCAGTTACCTCTCCACTTCTTCTTCATCTTCATTAGTCCCTTTCTTTTTGTGGTAGGGAGTTTTCCCAGCATGAGCACCTATGCTTTCTTGGATACTCTCATTGAGAGTCTCTTCTAGACTCTCGATTTCCTCCATAATCTATTAAATCTATGAAATACTTAATTAGTCATATCAAGGGTATCAATGATGATTGGATTTATAAATATTGACAAGAAAATTGTTATACCTGTGATATTCTTTGCTCATTGCGAGCAATCTGAGTTTGTTGGCCCTGTGTCAACCCACCTTGAGCAATCTCCTTCGCCTGAATGGAGTCTATCTCCTTCTTCATATGAGCAATCTTCATCCCACAAGTAGTTACAAGAAAAGAAAATCAGTACAACTACATCGAAACAAAGGCCTTTGGAAAGAGAAACAGGAGCATAGTTAATATAGAAACTTTCTTTCTTTTTATTTAGAAAAAAGTAGAAAACCAAGGAACAGATTTGTACACTATTAGAGAAGCCACAGGCCCACAATAATATAATGTGTTCAGTGGTAGTAATAGTACAGCCATTTGATTTTTGAGATATATTTTCTGTCCATTCCATTAACATAGCCATCTGTCTAAACATTCTAAATATGCAAGGATCCTCAAATAATTTCCAGAAATTACAAAGACATGGTGCTCTTGTAGAAAAAGATTCACAATAATAAATATATTTTTGGACCCACAGCTTGGTTTTTTCATATCCACAAATTTTTCTGAGAGAGTTTTGTATCGATGGATTAAAATCATGTAAGTTGCAAACTGTTAGATAGAATATAAATCCATGTCGGCATGTATTCCCCAACCCCTAAGGGAATAAGGGAATATGATATGGTTTTGTATATCTCCTTGATTATAAGGTTGATGCAACTTGACACCCATATACTTCAAGAACATATACTGTTATCTATAGAAAATCTAAATCAACCAGATTACTTACTAATCTTTTTCAAAGCCGAGAGCAATTACAAACTAAATTGGTCAACACAAATGTGGTTTCTAACTGTTGTAGTCTTTTAATACAAACCGTTAACATTCTCAAATAAAAAAATAAAAAAAATTGTTGTTTCTAATATTACTAATGCAGAAGTACGTGGTGAAAAGAGAAAGCAACCCAGCAACAATAATTCCCCATTCAACAACAATTCCCAGTTTGTTGCTCAATAACATACCTCAAGGATGATTTGTCCTTTTGAAGTATTTTGTATTTTCATAATTTTGCTTCAAAACCAACATTCACTTTTATCCATCACTCAGTGAAAAGAGGACAAAAGAGCACCCAAAACGATCATTGAAAACAAACATTCACTTTTCCCAACTGTCATGCAAGAAGCTTTATGCCTAAAATGTTGGGGATTTGAAAAATTTTCCAGTGCAGCTAACTTAGCAGTGCGGCTAACTTAGCATGTAAAAGTGAAATGAGAAAAGAAAAGTTTAATTTAAAAGAAAAAGGGAAAGAGGAAAAAGGCATGCTTGTATATTGGTTGCTTGAAAACAGTTTCAAAAAACAAGATAGAAAGCTACTAGATGAATCTCAAATTATGGTACCACTATCGATCAACATATTTGGGAAAAGGCAACATGCCATTAACAAGTTTACAAGATAATTGAGTTTTCCTTAAAAGATTTATGGAAGAGAAAAGACACGTACCTTTTCATATCTCTTGACGACTTTGTCACGTGTCTTTGCCTGCTTCTCTGTAAGTTGTCCTTTGTATGTTTGCCATGTTATTTCATCAGCATTATCCTTATGACCAAAATATGTAAGGGCCATTAAAAAAAAGAAACAGGTGAATACAAAATAATGCAAGACAGAAGAAAAATGCAAACCATGGGATAAACTAAAACATAGAATAGAGAATAATTCATTAAGATGGTAATAAAATTTAAATTCCTTTCAATACAAAAGGAGAAGCACCAATGATATGGAGGTAGAAAAATAATTGGATGATTCCTCAAAGCAAGCACATGCATACATGATGAGGAGATACAAATTCATATATACCTCTGAAGCTTCTTCAATTGCATCCTCCATCATACCCCATTGGATACCATCAGCCATGGCAGCATCTGCTTTAGCACGTAAGATTGAGGCCTCACGATCTTGCAAATCCCGCTGCATCTTACTCTCTCTCAACCTATGTAGGTCACTTTCCTATAACAACAGTATGAGTGTGTTAATAAGTGGCATTGAAGAGTGAATCAGCATAATTAAACCCATTCAAAATATTGCACCCAGTTTCTTTTGAGAAAAACCTATGAATTCTTAAGAGATGATAGACGAGCAATATTCTAAGCTTCTTTAAAAGTAATCACAAAGATGTTATAGACTACGGCAATGGATTCATTCTCTGTTCATCCTTAACAAATGGCAGTTGGATGACGAAAATAAATAATCAGCACAAAAGGAAGAAGTGTAAAAGAACTTAACATATTTAAGGCACAATACTAATAAAGATAAATCACAAATAGTCAAGAGAGGCCCTTAAATAGCACTACGGAAAAATTTCATTACGAAGAGAAAAATGAAAAGCAAGGATATGTGTCTAGGCTTGATCCATCCCATGACTTTATGGGCTGGTGGGATAGGGAGCCAGGGACTAGTGATTGTCATGAGATGAAGAGCGATTCTCATTGGTCTCTCAGTAGGAGTTGCAGTGACTGGTGAGGGGTTCCAAATTGAGGGAGGACAAAAGAAATGTGGTTGAGAGTTGATTATTCATTTGGGTCTATCAAAGGTAATTTCTTTGCTAGAAGGGGTTTAGATAGTGATCTTTAGTTAATTGGCTGTCTAGACAACATCAAAAGCAGCTGCAAACCTCAGTCCGGAGGGGTTTAGATATTGACCGACAGCTAGGTGACATACAGAAAGGCCAAGGCCAAAGTGGATGTCAGCTTATCCTAGAAGGAGGATTCAGAAGTTTTTGTGAGAATCCTTGAGATAATGGGGATACTTCTAATTCTCCCCAATAGTTGCTTTATTCATAGATATCTTTTCACATAATATTTTGGGATGCTTGCTAACCTCCATCATAGTTCTCTTATTTTTAGATATTGGGAATAGGCTTCATACTCTATTAAGACCCTTGTTTAGTACTTGCAAACTCAGTTACAGAAAATAGGAGTTCGAAATAACAAGTAGAAGAAGAGAGAAGTCATGATAGTTGTTGGGATTGAGAACAGGAGGGGGACTGAGAGCATGGAATCATGATAGGCTAGAAGCTCCCTATCGTCGGGATCATTGTTTGTACACTGAATTTTATGGATCTCAATCCCAACATATTGGGGAACTGGATCCCAACCTTTTGGAATCACATGTAAATTCTGAAGGTCCGAGATCCATATGATAAAAGCATCTCTTCTCTTTGAAAAATGCACAGAACATGATTACTTTCTTTTTTTATGGATATCCATTTAGGACTTGTTTCTTTATAAAAGATCACTCTAACAAGAGTGTGATTTATATCAACCGATCCCAAGAGATTGCCATCAGATTCCCCCATACAGAAGCGAGATCCACCCAAGATCCAACTCTAGGAGCGTAGGATCGCTAGGATTGCCACCAAATTGGGAGATCCTGGTAACTATGTGAAAGACAGAAGCCCACAAATTTAGGCTAGAAACTCCCTATCACCGGGATCGTTGTTTGTACACCTTGAATTTTAGGGATCTCGATCCCAATATATTGGGGAACTGGATCCCAACTTTTCGGAATCACATGATAAATTCTGAAGGTCTGAGATCCATATGATAAAAGCATCTCTTCTCTTTGGAAAATACACAGAACATGATTACTTTCTTTTTTTAATGGATATCCATTTAGGACTTGTTTCTTTATAAAAGATCAATCTAACAAGAGTGTGATTTGTATCGACCGATGCGATCGTGTTCCCCCATACAGAGTAAGACCCACTCAAGGTCCAACTCTAGGAGCGTGGGATCACCAGGATTGCCACCAACTTGGGAGATCCCGGTAACCATGTGAAAAACAGAAGCCCACAAATTTGAGGCCCATTCCATAATTATAGGTTATGAATTGTGCATCCTGATTTGAGGCCCATTCCATAATTATAGGCTATGAATTGTGCAGTCAAATGTCCCATTAGAAAATCAAGAAAGAGCTAAATTTCTGAATATACAAAATTTTCATAGTATGAAAGATGGCCTTAGTCTCAACCTTCCATCTCTTTTGGGTAGTCATATTCCAACTTTTTTGGACAGACAGTTAATACTCCAACTTTTTTATAAAATATCCATGTTTAAGGACATCTCTTCCACATAGGATCCAAAAATTTCATGCGTGAAGTTAACATATAAATTGAAATTTAATGTTGCTAAAATTCATTACTAACATCCACAATTTCCAGACTAAAAACATGGTATTGATCTTGAGGTCAACGTCACCATTTCCAGTAAGGTATGTGTGTGAAGGCTTTTGGAAGTTGCCAATCATTTTGCTTGGATGGGTAACAGCGTATTGATATTGCAAGTCTCAATCATTATTATGAAAATAAGCTGTAACATTCATCATTATTATGTCTATACGAATTACTTTTGAAGTTAAAAAAGGTACTTAAACAGGGAAAGTTCAGGACTAAAGTGCTTATTAAAAAAAAAAAAGAACCTTGTAGTTTAAACTGTTTATTCTTACCAGGGGCATCAACTCTATTGGTCCTTGAAAGATGTAGAGACGAGAAGAACTGTTCCACATTCAAGAGGAACAACTAATCAGAAAAAGAGAAAAAAGAAGCAAATAAATGAGAACCATGATGAATCACAGTTCTCTACAGTACTCATCATGTGGAATTAGATATGTTTTTCCTGGGTTCTTTGTTACCTCTCAAAAAGAATAATAATCATTATTAGTTATCATTCACAAAGTATAAAAAAATAGAAACGCTACTCACTACAAAAGATCAACTACAATAATGGAAAACACTTATGGAAGTGGGAATACTTACAGCCCAAATCGAAGTACATCACCAACATGCAGTTCTTTATATACCTTCGGCTTTAACTATATACATAGAAATCAGATCTTAGTTCCAAGTAACATACAATGTGAGTGAAATGACAAGCTTATCTTTCGCTTCTGATAATTATGCGAGAACTTCCCAGAAAGAATATATTTGAGCCTCCGCAGAAAATTGAAAATATACATTCCCTAAGAAGGTTCACCTTTATGTATGGAAGCATTTAGAAAGTGCATATGGTACCTAATAATCGAGCAGGCAACCAAAAAGATTTCCAAGGTGGAAAACCAAGGAACTCTCTTTTGGTGGATGCATTACCCTTGCCAAAGAGTTTTCTTTTTAAAATACTACCATCAAAGCATTGATAAGCAACATTTTGATTTACTTCATGCCCTTGTTTAGCATGCTTAAATATTAGAAGTATTAGAAGCAGCTACTCATTAAACAAAAAAGCATGAGGCACAAGAAAAAGAAACTTTACCTGAATCTTATTGATGAAAGTGCCATGAGTACTGCCAAGATCATAAACAAATGCTTCGCCATTCTCCCTATACTGAAGAACTGGAAAAAGTGAAAATGGAAAAATATAATTAGTAAAACATTATACATTGATCGCATTTATCACTTCACATAAACACAATTATATGGCATTTTGTATTTTGCCACAAAACGGATTAATGCCTGCCTCTAATACGAATTAAATTTTCATTGGCTTAAGATTTCTATGACATGATCCACCTAACCTAGCGAGGACCAGTTTTAACGGATTACTTCAGAAAATTCCATTGCTCTGCCCAATATAAAAAGGACAAAAAGGTTTGAGTGCCCTTTTTGTTCTTACTCCTGATAAGTTGGAGCAAATTATCCTTTTTTTTTATTCAATTTCAAATGATGTATATTATAGTTTTAATTTTAGGGTTTATTTCTAGGGGTTATTTGTTTTTTAGGGATTCTAAAGTTTTTATTTTTTAATTTTTATTTCATGAATACTATTCATGAGTATTGTTCATAGGGGTAAAACTGTCATTAAAAATTTTAACTTCAATTAGGATATATGGGTCAATGTGTTATTTGTTTGGACACTTCTTGCACTTGGAATATTAAATTATAATATATAAGAGGTGTGTGGCACCTTGAGGGGGTCATATTTTGAGCACAAGCCTTTTCACTTTCACACTCCGCATAGGGAGTCAAGTGGCAGAAGACCTGGATGTGGGGAACATCACTCTAGGGTTATCGATATGAACGATGAGATTATTGATTTTGACACAGATTGCATCATAAATCAGTAAGTTGTAGAATGGGATTCACCACCAATCTTTGATGCATGCTCTGATAAACAACAAGATCTCTTAGGAGATCATTTTTATGGTAAAGAAAATTTTTTTGTGAGTGAATCAATCTTTGACGAAGAAAAAGATGAAGATCTTAAGGATATTAAAGAGGCGGAAAATTTAGGAGATTTAGGGGATTGGAATCAAAGCAGTGCAATAGAAGTATGGTCGATTCAGAATCTGCAAATTGTGGCCATGATTTCAGAGAGTAATGAAGTAGATGAGAAGAAATCATTTAAAGACCAGAAAATTGGGTTTGTAGTTTCCTACACAATTTTCAATAGGAGTGTAAGGATAGCTGTATTTGATAAATTTCCATTGATTCCTCAATATGCATATCAGGATCCGTTTCTTGAAGAATTATTTTTACCACGAGTAATATTTAAGCCAACAACAAAAAAGAAGGTTGAAGAAGGTGTTTATGAGGTTGAATTCATCTTAGCACACTTCAAAACTCGAGGATGAGTTTTCTCCAACCAAGGGAGAATGATGGAGGGCAAATTGTCCTTATTTTTTATTTTTATTCAATTTCATCGGATGTATATTATAGTTTTAGTTTTAGGGTTAATTTCTACGGGTTTTTCATTTTTAGGACTTTCTAGAATTTTTATTTTTTATTTTTATTTCATGAGTATTATTCATAAGTACTATTCATGAGTACTATTCATGGGTACTGTTTACAAGAGTAAAACTATCATTACGAATTTCAAGTTAAGTTAGGATATATGGGTCAATGTATTATTTGTTTGGACACTTTTTGCACTTGAAACATTAAATTATAATATATAAGAAGTGCGTGGGGCTTTGAGGGGGTCATATCCACATGATTTTCAGAAATTGAAAGAGAGAAAAGCTTAGGCTTTTGGAACCCTAGCTTGGGGTATGGAGAAGAAACCTATGGTTGTGTCTAGCTTTATTTCTCGCTGATTTTACTGCTTCCCTCAAATTTTCCTGCATCACCATTCCAAGTAAGCAGGGAGAGAATCGCCTTGCCCAAATGCTTCAACTAAATGTAAACTATATCTACATTGTACTTGGTTACCATTTTCCTACTCCTTTGATTTCCTACATCTTTAAGTGAGGTATTGGAACCAGAAACTAAATAAATAAAATTTCAAACAATAGCTTCCACCTATAAATGCATCAGCAACACTGAGACAGAATCTTCACATTTAGTTGGAGGAAGTATCTACTATCTAATGAATGCCCACTTAAGCTGTGGAGCCAAAGAAAGGCAAGTTGCTATCTCAGACCCATCAAGGTAAGATACTATGCTGCATGGATAGGTCTATTTGCCCAAGGTACCAATGTCAATAAGGTCCAGTACCAGTATTGCTACGGTATAATGCAGGGCTATGATAAGGAGATAAACCATGCAAGGTTCGTTTGTTTGGTTGTCCCGTGGCAGTGGCTGGGCCAGGAGGGTCCCGGTCCAATCTTGCCGATTTCATCTAGACATGGCTCAATAGAATGGTAAAAAACTTAAAATAAACTCCCAGCCCAGTGCAATAGCTTTGGAGCATAGTGGGACACCAGGTGGGATTGAGTGGTGGACTAGGTGCAGCTAAACGGCAACCGTGTGATATGGTTCAGCCATATCCTGCTTGTTACTTGAAGAAGTTCTTCAGTCCCTACTTTAAATAATTATAGATAACATTAAGAATGGTGTGTAATATAATATTATAATACTTATTAAGGGGATAAGTCCCTAATTTGCATGCCTCTTTTTTACTAGCTAGATCAAATCAGGTAGAACCAGCACCATGTGATACACATTTGTAATTCTCTAAGTACTGGTGTATGAGTTCGACATTTTGTAGCTTTGAAATTCATTGAAGTTAGAATGTAGAGCATAGAACTTGATCCCTTTGAGTTACACATTCAATGTCATAACTCTTTAACCTTTGGATGTAAGGTTATCATCAATCCTTTTCTAACTAGATCTTCATAAGTTTTAATTGTCTAAATTGATATTCATCGTGTTCCTATCATGTCGTATCCTATGGTTTGAACATGTCAGATTAGATACTGATACCAGTAACCATATCCTGGATTTCACTAATCACCCCCAATAAAGCCTTTTGATACAAGCAGCTAGAAGCCAATGATACCTCCTTAAA